CAAGTCCTCTTTGCTTTTAGCAAGCAAGGTTGTGTCATCTGCATAATGCAGGTTGTTAAGAGGTCTTCCTCCAATCCTGATGCCACGTTCTTCTTCATATAGTCCAGCTTCTCAAGTTATTTGCTCAACATACAGGTTGAATAGGTATGGTGAAAGGATACAACCCTGATGCATACCTTTTGTGATTTTAAATCACGCAGTATTCCCTTGTTCTGTTCCAACGGCTGCCCCTTGGTCTTTGTACAGGTTCTATATGAGCACAGTTAAGAGCTCTGGAATTCCCATTCTTTGCAGTGTTATCCATAATTTGTTATGATTCACACAGCCAAATGCTTTTGAGTAGTTAATAAAGCACAAGAGAACATCTTTCTGGTTTCTCTGCTTTCGACCAAGATCCATCTGACATCAGCAATGATATCCTTCATTCTATACCCTCTATTAATCCGGCTTGAATTTCTGAAAATTCCCTGTTGATGTACTGTTGGAACTGTTTTTGAATTATCTTCAGTAAAATTTTATTTGTGTGTGATATTAATGAGATTGTTCGATAATTTCTGTATCTTTTGGATCACCTTTCTTTAGAATGGGTACAGATATGGATCTCTTCCAGTCTGTTGGCCAGGTAGCTGTCTTCCAGATTTTTTGGCATGGATGAGTGAGCGCTTCCAGCTTTGCATCCCTTTGTTGAAACACCTCAATTGGTATTTTGCCAATTCTTGGAGTCTTGTTTTTTGTCAATGTCTTTAGTGCAGCTTGGACTTCTTCCTTCAGTACCATTGGTTCTTGATCGTATGCTACCTCCTGAAATGGTTGAAAGTCGACCATTTCTTTTTGGTAGAGTGACTCTGTGTATTCCTTCCGTGTTCTTTTTTTTCATTTATAATTACAGCATTTATTACAAAACAAGCATACAAATTGAAGTATGAGCTATTTAAAGCAAAACTGGTGAGATTAATTTTTCATTGTGGAAGATCAACAGAATTTGCATTGATTGTTGAAACAGCTAAGTTCACTGACTCCTTTTCTTTGTTGTAGAATATGTGGAGTATTCTTTTTGTAGAAAATGTGGTATATAGTAAATATCTTAGTACCCTGCATCAATTAAAAAAATTTTTAAATTGTACTTTAAGTGAAAGTTTACAATTCAAGTTAATCTCTCATACAGAAATTTATATGTATGTAGTTATGTGATCCTAGTTGCTCTCCTATACTGTGACAGCACACTCCTCCTTTCCACCCCTGATTTCCCGTATCCATTCAACCAGCTCCTGACCCTCTCTGCCTTCTCATCTCACCTCTGGACAGAAGCTGCCCATTTAGTCTAATGTATCTACTTGAGCTAAGAAGCACACTCTTCACGAGTATCATTTTATGTACCATAGTCCAGTCTAATCTTTGTCTGAAGAGTTGGCCTCGGGAATTCCATCTTCTCTTGATGCTTCCTGCGTCGTTCAATATTTTGCCTATAGAATCTTTCAGTATTGCAACTCAAGGCTTGAATTTTTTCTTCAGTTCTTTCAGCTTGAGAAATGCCAAGCATATCTTCCCTGTTGGTTTTCTAATTCCAGGTCTTAGCACATTTCATTGTAATACTTTACTTTGTCTTCTCGAGCCACCCTTTGAAATCTTCTGTTCAGCTCTTTTACTTCATCATTTCTTCTATTTGCTTTAGCTACTCTATGTTCAGGAGCAAGTTTCAAGAGTCTCTTCTGACATCCATTTTTGTCTTTTCTATTTTTTCCTGCCCTTTTAATGACCTTTTGTTTTCTTCATGTATGATGTACCTGATGTCATTCCGCAAGTCTTCTGGTCTTCAGTCATTAGTGTTTAATATGTTAAATCTGTTCTTGAGATGGTCTCTAAATTCAGGTGGGATATACTCAAGGTTGTACTTTGACTGCCATGGATTTGTTCTAATTTTCTTTAGCTTCAACTTGAACTTGCATATGAGCAACTGATGGTCTGTTTCACAGACAGCCCCTGGCCTTGTTATGACTGAAGATATTGAACTTTTCCATCATCTCTTTCCACAGATGTAGTCAATTTGATTTCTGTGTAGTCCATCTGGCAAGGTCTACATGTATAGTCACCGTTTATGTTGTTGAAAAAAAGGTATTTTCAATGAATAAGTCATTGGTCTTGAAAAATTCATACAATCTCTGGCATCTTTTCTATCTCCATGACCATATTTTCCAACTACTGATCCTTCTTCTTTGTTTCCAACTTTCTTCTTCCAATCACCAGTAATTATCAATGCATCTGGATTGTGTGTTTGATCAATTTCAGACTGCAGAGTTGGTAAAAATATTCAGTTTCTTCATCTTTGACATTGGCTGTTGGTACATAAATTTCAATAATAGTCGTATTCACTGGTCTTCCTTGTAGGTGTGTGGATATTATCCTGCCACTGACGGCATTGTACTTCAGGATAGATCTCGAAATGTTCTTTTTGACAGTGAATGTGACATCGTTCCTCTTGAATTTGTCGTTTCTGGCATAGTAGACCATATGATTGTCCAATTCACAATGGCCAGTACCAGTCCACTTCTGCTCACTAATGGCTAGGATATCGATCAAGTGTTCCATTTCATTTTTGACAACTTCCAGTTTTCCTAGATGCATACTCTGTACGTTCCACGTTCCAATTATTAATGGATGTTTGCTGCTGTTTCTTCTCATTTTGAGTCGTGCCACATCAGCAAATGAAGGTCCAGAAAGCTTTACTCCATCCATGTCATTAAGGTCAACTCCACTTTGAGGAGGCAGCTCTTCCCCAGTCGTCTTTTGAGTGACTTCCATCCTGAGGGATTCATCTTCTGGCACTATACCAGACAATGTTCCGCTGCTGTTCATAAGGTTTTCACAGGCCAATTTTTTTTAGAAGTAGACTGCCAGGTCCTTCTTCCTGGTCTGTCTTAGTCTGGAATCTCTGCTGATACCTGTCCACTATGGGTGACCCCACTGGTTTTCAAAATACCAGTGGCATAGCTTCCAGCATCACAGCAACACACAAACCACTACGGTGTGACAAACTGACAGACAAATGGTGGACCCCAGTGCATAGCACCCGGTAATTTTTCAGTAAGTGGTAGCTCTGCTTATGATTAATAGAAATACTAGTAATTTATGAATATTAGATGAGTGTTCATCAGTATATGAATCACCCTTAAATGCCAGTTCCCTTATGGCAAATATGGTGGTATATGCTGGTAGGATACCCTACGAAGTAGAGAAGATGTTATAATAACCCCCAGCTTCAACAGTTACGTACACTACAACTGCCTCTAAGTAAAAATATTTGTGTATGTGAGTAGACTGGAATATAATTTATAAAATTGAAAACAGTTGTGTTAAGGCATTGGGGTTATTCTTTTTCTGCTTAAATCTTTTGTTTATGTTAGGATACTATATATGTTCAGAATAAATTTCCTTTTAAAGAAAAATATGAAAAGAATAGAGTCCTTGAGATCTGGGTCGTTGTCTGTTTGCCTTTGTATTTCCCACAGCTCCTTACACATAGAAGCACTCAAAATTTATTGACTGTTTTAATTGCATAGAGGTCAAGGTAAATCCTTTTCATGGAGAGGGAAATTAGAGTTGGAATGGATATTGATTGTATCATTCTGGTTTCCTTTCTAGGATTTTAAGCTTGACTTTGGCAATCCCCAAGGCAAAAAAAGTCCTACTTGGCATGGAGGTATAGCTACCATTTTTCAAAGTCCTGGAGATGAAGTGTGGGGAGTAATATGGAAAATGAACAAAAGCAATTTAAGTTCTCTGGATAAGTAGGTAACTTCTAATTTAAGTTAAATAATTACTATTTTGGAAAGATTGTATGCAAGAATATGTATATGTGTATTGGTTTTTCAAAACAGTATACTATAGATATATTCTTTACACTTTACAGTCAACTCTGACTGAGATTTGAGAGAATGTAATTTTTTCTGTAAACAATGGAAGCCCTTTTTTTTCATTCTATTCATCTTTTATAAAAATCTCTTTTTGTAGTTTCATTTTGTGAAAAGGCATGAAGAATTTTGTAATTGTTACATGTTTATTGTTTCCAAGAGGAGTTGTTCAGTTTTTGTTTGAGCCAGTTTTTAAAAAATAATTCTTTATGATGGCAGTTGGATCAGTAAACAAGTAATGATAATTAAAACAACAACAGCAACAATATTGAAATGTTTTGATACTTTTTATAACTTGAACTCTGAGTTGGGTGGCCAAGCATTTAATACAAAGAAAATGGCCAAGAGAAAGTAGGACTTGTGAAGAGCAAATTCTCTGGCCTGCTTGGTATTTTCCCTCACTTACCAACAAGAATGAGCCATCTTCTTTTCCCTGGATGAGTATCCCATTTGCTGTCAGAACATATCATCCATTTTTTGTAGTGTAGAAAGCAGTGTTTAAGGGGTATAAAGATTGCAATAACTACATTGAAGCATGTTTTCAGGCAGGATAAATATCGATTTGTTAGACGTATACCAAATAATACTTGTTATTACTAAGTCTCAGGATTTCTAATTGAAATGGTAAGTTTACTTTTGATGTGGTACTATTGAAAATATGTTCTGTTATGTCCCAGAATGCATAGGGAACAACTACTTCTGCGCGTAGTTCTTAATTCTATACCTCAACTTAACTAAAAGACCTTACCCAGTAAACTAAATTGGGTAAATC